TCTATGAATATTCATTGTCATCCTTACGTTTAAAATATATTTTGAAATCATGATTCTATTAAATTATTCAATACATTTTTCACTATGACAATTATGTTTACTTTAAGGCAGCGATAAGAGATTCAAGTACTTAATTAAAAAATTTGTTTATTTTTAATCTCAACCTTTAAATATTTTTTTACCACATGTCTTTCATCCGACTCTAAATAAAATAAACAAAAGCGTGTGTTAAATTGAGCCTATCTGAACTCATTTAAAGCATATGCTTTTTTTTTTACAAATTAGCTACTTAAAGTCACCTAACCCAAAAATTTTGCATTAGCATTTTCTCCACGAAGAGAACGGGTTTGCATGAGCTATGACACAGTGAAAAAAATAGTCTCTTTTCCAACACACACAGCATTCCTTGCTCTCCAATTCCACCATGCTCTCCAATTCCACCATAGACTCGCTAGAAACTTATTAGTAGTGTCCATAGTTAGGTGATTTTAGTTAAGTAATCATGGTTAGTTATTGTAGGAATCATGGTTAGTTATTGTAGGAATCATGGTTAGCTCAACTATATAAACTCTCTTGTACTTGGCTTATGGTTTAAGTTTCATAATTGAATAATGAAAGCTTCACTCTATTCTTCATCTTCTTCAACCTCTTTCTTTTTCTCCACCTTTCTCTAATGGTGGATTCTGATTTTAACATCAACATTTAAAATCAGTATTTCCTCTATTTCTTTTTAATTGTCACAATTTGACATTTTACACGTATCAAGAAAATTAATAATAATTGTTACTTTTTAGACTATGATTTTTCTTTTGCCTATAATATTTTTAATTTTTAATCATTTCAATATTTTTTTTCTCTCGTAGAATGAATAGTTAAGAATACTTTTGACGAACTATAATGATTACCATATTGAAATAATGAAGGCTTCATAATTGTATAACGAAGGCTTCACTCTTTTCTTCATCTTCTTCAACCTCTTTCTTTTTCTCCACCTTTCTTCAATGGTGGATTCTGATTTTAACATCAACGTTCAAAATCAGTACTCCCTCTATTTCTTTTTAATTGTCACAATTTGACATTTTACCCATATCAAGAAAACTAATAATAGTTGTTACTTTTTAGACTATAGTTTTTCTTTTGCCTATAATACTCTTAATTTTTAATCATTTCAATGTTTTTTTTTCTCGTAAAATGAATAGTTAGGAGTAATTTTGACAAACTATAATGATTACCATATTAAAATATGAAAACGATAATTAAATAGAAATAATTTTTTTTCTACAAAAATGACAATTATAAAGGAACAGAGAGAGTAATTATAAACAATTAAAAATCAATATGAAGTTATCAAACAAAACATGTAATGATATGCATGGTGATTGGTTGATTGTCACTAGGAGAAAAGGGAATAATTTGATTCCCCAACAAAGAAAGAATGTTGTGTTAGGTAGTATTAAGGTGGGCTAACCAATCAGGTAAAAATAAATTCAATAATTTCTAGTAACTAGGTTTTTGGTAATAACTTTGATAGAGAAAAAATCATTGATAATAGATAGGAATTTATTATTCTATCCATACTTAAAAGAAAGATCTTACGCAATTTCTAAAATATTCATCTGAAATCGGAAATATATTTTTGGTGCGCATATCTTTTTGTTAAAATTGATTAAAGATCGAAAGTATATTTACGGTTGTAAACCGGTAATATATTTCTAGTTTTAATATTGTCAGTAGCAGAAAGAATTTAGATAGAGAATTATCATTTTTTTCTCTCGTTGTTTTGCATTAAATACAAAAACATTTACGATTCATACAATCAAAACAATTGGAACAAATATATAATATATATATATATATATATATATATATATATATATATATATATATATATATATATATATATATATATATATATATATATATATATATATATATATATATATATATATATATATATATATATATATATATATATATATATATATATATATATATATATATATTGTGATATAGTTGTACACATCACAAAAAGTGTTTGTGGTCGATAGAGGGATAACTCAAAAATGTAATTCAAATACAATAATAATAAAAACTAAAATCAAAATAAAAATACATCATCAAATGCTATTGGGTATGGCGGATGATGAGTCGGCATGTCACCCTCAAGACGTCCCTCCGCTGCCTCCTGTAAAATAGAGTCTCCTGAGTCTCCGCCATGATGACATCCAGAACACCTCTAACATCGAATCCATCTGGAAACATACCTCTATCGATACTATCCCGCAAAATCGGCATGATATGAAGACACCTAGGCAACACGTCAGTGGCATGATCGGTCTTAACCTGCTCCTCCTCTAGCATCTCCTGATGAACTGGCCTTAGTGGATTCTCTGGAGCATCTTGTACCATATATGAATGGGACACCCAGAAGAACCATATCATATAACCGTACTCATAGCTCTAGTCGTCTAATGTTATGGTACTCCTGACCTCATTAAGAACAAAATGATTCTCAAAATCATCAAACAAAGCATCCATATCCCTCTGTTTCACCGTCGGAGGAGCAAATACAATAGAATCCCGAGAAATAGTCTGGATGAACTCGAACTAACGCATCACCCGCTTAGACATATAAGCAGCCGTCTTGCGAATCCTGCAGGCCAACTAACCCGTAAATAATGCAACCTCGTCAAATGGTATCGTCACATAGTGGTCGACGTATGAACAAAAGTGTATGTCCTCATGCACCAACAATCAATGTACACACGGAACGAATCTATCGTCTGGTTCCCTCAGAGTGGATCGTATGCGCAGGCACGCGACTTATCTTCAGTATAACCCGTAGCAAGTGACCAACCTAAGATGCAGGGAAAGTGTTGTAGGATCCATCCCTGAAATAACAAAATTAAATAGTTAGTTTCAGAATCCCAATAATTAACAAAAACCCACAAAGACCAAGAAGTTATACTGTCGGGAGTGACATGCTGCCGATCATCTTCCTCGTATTCCACTTAGACGACCCTCCTCCAAAAGCCTGAGGCGCCGCAGGTGCAGCCTGTGCTGGTGGTGTCGTAGGTGCAGGCTCAGGTGCCGCCCCAGGTGCCTGGGATGACTGAGGAACCGCCTCAGGCGTCGTCTGGGACTGAGGCTATGATGGAGGTTGTAGTTGGGCCTCTAGTGTCGCCTGAGAACCAGACGCTCCCGCCTCAAATAAACCCAATGGAGAAGTGCGTCTGCGGGAGGATAGAGGTGGAGACGAATGAATTGAAGAATCCCGCCTACTGTAAGAGGACGACGTAGTACGAGTAGAAGCATGAACATCAGAGGCTGAAGTTGTAGGAGGTGCATCTGGTACGGCCTGTCCAGAGGCATGAGGAGGTTGGGTTGCTTGAATCCTTTCTCTCTGCACAGATGTATGTTGTGAAACCCTACCGAACCTCAATCGAGATGGTCTCCCAGTCATTGCTCCTGTAGAAGTACGGAAAAATGTTAACTTAAGGACCAATGTTCAAAACAAAGCTGAAAACAGATACAGAGCTACATTAATGGCTTCTCTGCCTCCCAAATGAGCTCACAAAAATCCATTGATCATGAAAATGATATTGCCAACACCTTTCTAGTTATTCATAATATTAATAACAAACTACAAAATCCCAATTTCTAACCGAAATCACACATTTGAGTGGATTTTACACAAACTCTAAAATGTTAAAAAACAATCTACTTGATTGATTGTGGTTGATTTTCCTTGATTGATTGTTATTGGATGTTTGAGAGGCTGATGCTTGATGATTTCTAGCAACTTGGGTTGCAAATGTGGTTGATTTGGTGAAAATGAAATTGAGAGAGTTTTGGTATATTGTGTTTTTTGTTTTGAAAATGGCACCGTAATGGAAAGGGAAGAGGCAACGCTTCTTTTAGACAGTCCACAAACCGAAAATATATTTAAGGTTCTAAAACGTAGTTATCTTTCCGGTTAGTATCCAACTCTTCCAATATAATTCATGTCTAACATGATGCGAATCAGAAATATAAATCAGAAATATATATACGGTTCTAAACCGTAGTTATATTTTCGATTAGTACTCAACTATTCGTGTGGTGCGCTAGAAAAACATGGGATAGAATAAAAAAATGCCTAATAGATTCAAAGGTATACAAATAATTTTAGAGAGTTGATTCTGCTAGACTTGGTTTACTAGAAAAGCAACTTTTAATGGAAATGGATCAGTTACTTCACCATGAAGAAATGTTGTATCGGAAATCTAGAGAGGTAGATTCAATTTGGAAACATAAATTCAAAATATGCACAAACTACCATCAGAAGGAAGAGAAATAGAACCCGTGATCTTAATCTACCTAGTGGAGCTCGGTGCACTGATGATGCAACTTTTCAACAAGAAGCTGATACCTTTTTTTTTGTTCTTCTAATGGTCAGCATATTCCTTTTGCAGTTGACCATGTGCCACAGCCACAAATCATTGAGGAGCGCAGGGTCACATTCTTTCTAGGAGAGTCACTAATGAAGAAGTCTTGCATGCCTTGAACCACATGAATTCCTTCAAGGCCTCCCAACCTGATGCTTTTCAAGGGATTTAAAGCATTTGTGGTTTGGGGGAAATATTTTTATTTTTAGTTGTCTCTTTTAATTGCAAAATTACCCCTGTTCGCAATGTGTCTGTTTGAAAAGATTTGAGCAGAAAAAGATGAACACAAATAAAAATTACTTTATAAAATGTATTTGGTAGACAAGTTAGTTATGAAAACAAACACATTTATTTTAAACTTTGTTTTCTCACAAGAGGAAAAGTCCATTCACATAATCATATATTCAGCCCATAACAGCCATCATCAGTAATGCAAGATCAATTCTCATCCTTAACACAGTAATACTCATACACCATTGACTAGTTACATAGATGGAATGTCAGGTTTATTTGACACAAAGGCAGCAGAACTCTTGAATCTTGAAACCAAACCCTCTGGTATAAACTTGATGGTCACTCCCTTGTGCTCTCTTTTAACCATTCTAAATATTTGAGACTGCCCCCAGTGATGGGTAAGGAGATTACCTCTGGTACACTGAAAAAGGATAAAAGGAAGTGGTAAGAAGTATGTGAATACACTATAGTCCATAATTACAACTCAATTCATTTCAATGTACTTAGAGTCTAAGTTCTTGAGTCTAGGCAGATATATGGTTTAAGTTTGTCTTCAAGCTTTTCTTTTAGGTTCAAATAATAAATGCAGCTCAAACTTAACATGTTTAAAAGCAAATTTAAAGTTCATGGTAAGATTATTTTCTACATAAATCAGTCTTACTCATATTCATGATTTGCTTTGACATGATCTGTCAGTGCTTCCAAAAGAGATTGCCTGGTCTTGATTATAAGAAGTTCCTCAGAATCAGTTTGGATCTGTCAGTTCACAACATAAAGCTGGCGAAGTCAAGCTAGAACAATACTTTTTCAATTAAAAAACAACCCAAAACAGCCTTAATGCACACTAGAAGATAAGAACTTTTAATGGTAGGATGGAAACATTTTCAACCGAAGCTTCAATTCATATAAGTAATTAGGTCCAAACAACATTCTTCATCAACAGTAATATTGTAGACTGTACCTTTCCCTCCCATAGATACACCGATTCTATACCTGCACAATACATAATTCACATGGATTTTAAAAGTCTGACATGGGATGCAAGAACTATATAACTAACTTAGTTGGAAAACAAATAAATGAAGATCATAGCGAACTCAATCCGTTTCACCCAAAAAATGGGATAGCGCCATAGCGGGATAGCGTATAGCAGGATGGCCGCAATTTGATCACAAGGAATGTTAGGGTGGAGCCTCAACTCAAATTTGATTGAAAAACCCAATATACCCTTAAAAAGTTTCAAATTTAAGGGGTAATATTGGTTTTTCAGAGGGGAAAAGGAGAGCGGAACAGAAACCGCTTCATGCGAGGAACTACACCGCCCCCATTACCTGCTATTTACCATACAGTGGCCACTATAGTGGTCTGCACCGCTATGGCTCTTCCCATAGTGGCCAACCTCCACTCCACTAAAGCGAGATAGCGCTGCTATTGACTACTCTGGTTTCAGTTAATGACATGCAAGTATGTTGCCAAAGCCAAAAGTACTCTGGACAATGCCTAAGGGCTCAGGGTAAATCTGTCTTTAGACTCCAATTTACCAATTATATGCTAAGAAATGGTAAAGGGTTGCTCAATGCAGAAGACTTCACCAGGTGGGGGGACTGGGGAGAGTAGATGCTCCCCAAGTAGAGACATGACTTCATGTCACATGGAATGAATCTAACCATTGTGACAAAGCCCTTCCTCATATGCTCAGAAATGGTAATTAAAAAAAGATGTTTCAGTTTCGTAAAGTCAGCTCAATTGTGCTGGGACATCAATTGCATGAACGCGGGAACCCGTGGCATCCTACCTATTCATCTTTAAGGCAAGAATTTCCGGCCACTCAGACTACTAGACCAAAAAAAAGTTTTTATCCGAGCAACCAAATCCAACAAAAAATATCAAAAGTTGGCCAACATATTCCTAAATCTATTGGCCAAGCATTTCCCAAACCAAGTCCCGATAGATAATCATGATAGATGCAATCCCATCTTAGAAATCAAAATAAACCCCGTCCTTTTGGTAATCATATTCACAAGGACGGAAAAAAACACACAAGTTATCTTGAAATATAAGGAATAAGAAATTGTTACCCGGTACCCTATTAACACAAGCTGCAAGTTTCTCCTTGACAATACTCTCAGACAATTTCTTACCTATAGAACCAACAACATGAATCAAATCAAACAAACAACTTCAACATTAAATAAATAATCAAGTAAATTAAAAAATCATGCAACCTACCAGCTTCTTTGTTGGGAACAGTGACATACACAACAATGCTTGGAACAGTGGTGTTACTAGTATTCCCTTCCATTTGAATAAAGTTGCTGCTCTTAGTCGAAAACCTGCTACCCAATTTGGATCTGAAACAACAGAAGCAATTCAACAAACAGATAGAGGGATAAATAAAAGTGTTAGGTTAATGCGCATAGAGTACCGTAGAAGAGATTGAACGAACCCCGTTTTGAGGGCAGAAGAACACAATGGTGTGTAGAAATTGGTGAGTCCGAAAGTGAGCATGCAAAACGCGCCGACAAAGGGTAAACGACGTCGTAGGGTGGAGGTGGAGATGAAGGGTCTGGAAGAGGAGGAGTTGAGTGTCGGAGTGGAAAAGGACATTTTGGTTGAGAGTGTTTTATAAGGTGCTACGCATCTACATCAGGATCGCTTCTGCTCCTTTACTTGATGCGATCCTTTTCATCCTGTTTATTACCGCAAGCTGCGTATCAAACCCTTGCTTGTGACACATGTAATAAAACACAATTTACTAAATTAATAGTAAGAAATAGTCCTGAGTCACATTACATGTATTTTGTAAAATATGAATTTATTTTTTAATTGATTGACATTCACATAGTTAATAAAATAAGTTAATAATATGTATCAATTTTTTAGCAGTGATTTGTATTTATAATAAATCGTACAATTAACTTTCTAACTTCAATTATATAAATAAATAAAAAGGTTTAGAAATAAATATTAAAATGAACTGTCTACCGTTAGTATTTTATAAATACGTTCACATTTATTTGCTTTGTTACACATTACATGTCGTCCACTCATTTGTCAAGTTTTGATTCATTTTTTAGTTGGTTAACATTCACATATTTACAAATTTAGAATCAGTCGTACAGCTGATTCTCTAAAATCAATTATATAAAACAACAACAAAAAAAAAATTAAAAGATAAAGATTAAAATTGTAGCATAAAAGAAAAAGGAAATGTCATTTGCCAACATTATTTGATTTGAACAAATATAGTTCAACTTTTTCCCGTTTCTAAACATTTGAACATTGTTTTAAGAATGGTTGTCTCAATAGCATGGACTATATGAATGATATCTCCTCTTGGAGTAATAGAAAGATTCTGTTTAAAATCTCCTCCAAAAACAATAGCTTGTCCACTTTGTCAACTTTGAAAGCTGAAACAATAGCCCGTTGTTCGCCCGTGGATTTTGCAAACAACCCTGGTCTCTTGAAAATAAGTTTACGTGCGAGATCGACCAGGGAATCTCGGAGTTGTGCTTCAGTTCGCGTGCGTAGTCAAAGTGTTTTCAAAAAGGATGTGTTCGACTAGGAGCCAAACGTATTTAAATTGTAAAAGATAAGGACAAAAAGACAAAGTAAAGGAAACAGAAAAGCATTTTATTTATAAAAGATAATGACATAACATTAAAGAAAGTTGTAAAATAGGTTGGTTTAAACATACATTGTCTTTGCCTGACTCATTTCGCTCGTTCGCTTGATTACTTTGAGTTACTAGCATGCAGAAATGTGAAAAGTTTGACCCCTTACAAAAGTGCACTAAGTGCTTTATTATAATACACAGAAATAACTACTTTCTAAGTGGGCTTCGTTTCCTTGTATGCCATGTGTTCTTCGTAACTTTCTCTTACGAACCCACGTTCTCTATTGTAACTTCTCTTTGTGAACCCACGTTCTCTATAGTGGTCTGTTGTACCCCAAAATTTGCCCTCCCATATTCATCAAGAAATGGCCAAGTCAGGTCACAAAATTCCCCAAGGGTTATGCAGCTCAACAGCTTCCCATACAGTCAAAACTAGGGTTTGAGTCCTGATCAAGAAAATGAAGATTTCAAAGGCCCAATCAAGTCTCATATGCCTACAAAGAGGGTCAAGTATCCTCATGTCAAGTTTCAAGGCATTCAGCTCAAGATTGCACAGTCAAAACCCTAGATTGCACTACAGTCAACTGTAGGGGCAAAATGGTCATTTGACAGTCAAAAGTTCAAATTTTTGGTCAACATATCATTTTGAAGCCACAAACATCATTTGATCAATGCTTGATCATGATTCTCAAAATTTGGCTCAGAAAATCATCAAGATGCAAAAGTTGCTATATTTGGACAGCTGAAAAAGTCAACTGAAATTGACCAGGGCATAACTTTCACATGGATTATCAGAAAAATTCCATACAAAGCTCATTTTGAAGAGAAAGACATTTCCTACAAATCATCTTCATATTCCAAGTCCAAGAAATGCTCTCACAAAAAGTTATCAATTTCAACATTATAGGTCATTTTCAAAAGTCAACAAAAAGGGACTTTAAGTCAAAGGCCATAACTTGAGATTGGTAAATCAAAATGACATGGGACCAAAGGCATTGGTTAGAGGACTCAAAGACCTTTCCAAAATGTCCAAGAAAATGTGAAAAGCTTAAAAATTGAGCACGTTATGCCTTGTGGAAGTTGGGAAATTTTTGGGAATTTTGAAAAGTCAACAATGGTTCAAATGACCTAAAAATGCAAATGGGCCTATTTTTCTTCCAAGTTTCTTCATGCCAAGCCTATACACGACCACTAGGCCCAAAGGGAAGTATTTTCTCATTTTTAAATTATTTATTTGAATTTATATTAATATTAATTCAATTAAATTATTTAAATATGTAAAAAATATAAACTTAACCTAAAAAAATCTTTTTATGCATGATTTGGCTTCTATAATTCGTGCACATGCTAATAGGGAAAGATTTGGTGCTAATTGATCAGAATTGAACCAAATAACATGAAAAAAGATTCAAAAAAAGATTTCATAAAATCAAATATGTAAAACAATGAATGCTTGAGATTTTGTGCAGTTTTGTTGACCTAGCATGCTCTATACATATTCAGGAATCAAAACCTATTGGCCTTAGACTGTAAGCTGCGCCCCAAGAACACTTTGCAAATTGAAAATTTTTCATAAAACACAAAAACTGAAAACTAGTTTTTAGGTCGATTCAAGCTCCAATTCTTGTCCTATCATCATCCTGAGACATCATTGAACGATTCTCAATCACTAACATCAACCAAAACGCCCTGAATTGGTACCCCTAAGTCAAACTGTACCTCAAAACTTCTGAAATCGTATGGCATGATTCAAGCATATTTTTGCATTTTTATTTATGTATTCATATTCATAATGATGTTTCTAAGCTGACCAATGCGTTTGATTGCATTTTTGTGCCATATATATGAATCTGCCATGCGAGAATTCTAGGGTTGCAGGTTTCTGGAATTAGGGCTTTTGCGTAGAGGAAAAATTAGGACTCATGAATGCCATGGTTGGATTCAGTACCTCAAGACGAAGAGATTGACCTACTCGCGATGAATTTATGATCATCCTAGCGTTAGTCGCTATTTTCTATAAACCTGCCTAATGCTACGCTTCAAAAACCGTTGCCAATATGTTTTGTGTTTCAGGAAAACGAAGAAGACGATTTCGTGTCCATCAGCCATTGGCCACTTTGAATCTCGCGCGTTTTTCATCCACTAACACCATATTTTATTTATTATGTTTATGCGTTATTATATGTTAAATTGAAAGCGCTTGGTCCAATGGTTAAGTGTTTGTGCTGGCAACGTTAAAGACCTGGGTTCAAGTCCCAGGTCTGGCAATTTCCATAATATTTTTCAACGCAGGTTCCTATGCAACGCTGGCGTTAGGGACTACCATGTTCCATCCAGATCAGGCCATATACGCATCTAACACGTACAGATCAAGGGCTACAGAACCAAGGAACACCTACGCCTAGTCAACGTGTCACACATGATCCAAAAGTCAGCGAAATTCAAAGCTTAATGGGCCAAAATTCCAGGCCTGAACCTCCAATTTTGGGACTACACCCCACACTGGTTTGCTAATTCCATTTATTTTCCTTATATCCTTTTAATCCTTATTTTATTTATTTGTTGTTTTAATTCAGTAATTATTTTTTTTTTATAAAATATAAAAACATTCAAAAATCAGAAAAGACCAAAAAATAATAAATATTAATATTATAATTATTTTCATAAATAAATGCTTGTAATTATTTAGCTTTAATTTAGGTTTACTAAATATTTTTCATAACTAAAATCCAAAAAAAATAGAGTTTAGGTTTAATAACTTTTTATTTTCTTTTTAATTTTTCCTTTTTTTTTCAGAATAATAATATTAGTTGTTTATTTTCATAAATTAAAAATTGTACATAAATAAATTAGGGTTTAATGTAGATTATATTTTAATTCTTTCATGATAAATAAAAATATTAGAATTAGGGTTTGCCTTTTAATTTAATTTCAATTAACTCTTTTTTCTCATTAAAACTAAAAAACACAAAAATACCATTTTCATTTAATTTTAATTTTAATTCCTCCTTAATTAATTCATTAACTTTAAATATTTTTGTAAAAGGGTCCAACGCCCATTGTTTTAATTTAATTGCGCATATTTACTTTGTGTCGTTCATCATAATTATGTAAATCTCCCAAAGCACTGTAATTTAAATTTCTCGCACTTTTATTTATTCGCTTTATTTATTTTTTCAGTCAAATCGGGTCCGGTTTAATTTTGGCGATGTGGACCCGCGCCATTTGTAATAGCCTTAGATTTATTTTTCGCAAATTTTATAACTGTTAAAAAGCATGCAAGAATGAATGACCCTAATTAAAATCAAGCGTAGATCACAAATAAACATGACAAGACAAATAACTGAAACATGACACACGAATCGCACACACCACCCCTAGGGTACGCCTCACTGTTGCCTTTCGAAAGGTGATCGTCGAGTAGAGGACGTCTTAGTAAGTCCTCATGATCCGGGAACCTGGCATGAGGGTAGCTTCTAAGGTGTCTTCCCATTGCTCTGGTGATCACCACGTCCCTAAAACTCGAATTGACCCGAACACCTCCAACGGTGGTGCTACCTACCTCTCAATGGTGGGATGGCATTACTTCAAGGATATTTACACAGACGAATTCCTTAGGGTAGGTAAGTTCTCAAGGATACTTGCTCTAATTTCAAACAAATCAAAAGACTTTTCACACTGACACTTTTCAAAAGCTTTCAAAGCAAATTTTTCAAACACTCTGACGTACGAGTCGATCTGAAATTTTTCAAAGAAACTTTTTAAACCCACATTGAAAAGCAAACAAACAATTTTGAAAACACATTGAGCAAGTATCTAAGAGCCCATGGATAACCATGGATAGAAAGGGTGCTAACACCTTCCCTTTCTATAACCTACCTCCCGAACCGAGAGCAATCTCTATAAGGAATTTTTCTGTGCTTTTGTCCTTTCCATTTGGAGAAAATAAAAGACGGTGGCGACTCTTGCTTCCGCGACATTTCACGAACCA